AAAAAAAATCAGCCTCATTTTTAAATGAAAAGTGACTGGGAAGAAAAAATACACTCTTAAAAGTGTCTGAAACTAGCCTCCTGATTTAAACCCAATTTGTTTGAAAAAAAATATTTTTTTTCAGCAGAGAGTTTTTACAGCTGAGCGCTCCCAAACCCATAAAAAACAAGGTTTATATGGGAAATAGTGAAAGACTCTTAACTCTAGTACACAGCGTCTAATGTAAGCAGACACAGACACTATATAAAGCTCCTACAAATGTTATTAAAACAAACAGAAATACACATTTATCCCCGCAGAATGGACAACGGAGGCGCTGGATGGTAGAGAAGTCGCAGAAGTCCTAGGTTCACAGGAACGGTTCTCGGAGGTCTGTGTACACATCCAGAGTCCAGATACTTCCCTGGTCTGACCGAAGCCGGTGGAGAGGAGACACCTGCCTGGGGGGGCTGTGCTCTTTCTTCCCCTTGGTTTATTTGCCACTTTCTTCTTCTGGAGCAGATCCAGAACAACGCCTGGGCCAACCTACAGAAGGCGCTGGACATTTCTGAACCTCAGCTTCCTTATCTTCAGACCAGAGGAAAACAAAAAAAGACATTGCCTGACTTGCTCTGTGAGCAGGAGATAAGGGGCTCAAGCCCTGAGTTGTCCTCTGTGTATTATTTTATTTACCCCTCCCACAGCTTTGAGAGGTTATTCTGGTTGGTTTGCTTGTTTTGGGGAAGCAAGGGGCGTTTCCACTGGGTGGCTCACATTTCAGGGACTTGCCCAGGGGCACAGAGCCTGCTAGTGGAGTCCAGGTTCAAAGCTCTCTATTCCACATCACGCAGGTGAATGGAGGGTAGGTAGGGCTCGGGGCTGAGTTGCCCAGACCAGTGAAGGCAGCAGTGTTCCCTAGAAAATAATGCAAGCTGCAAGTGTGGGTCACATATATAATTAAAAAAAATTTTTTTTTGTTTTTGTATTTTGAGACAGGGCCTGCTATGTAGTTCAGGCTGGCCTTGAACTTGCAGGCATCCTCCTGCCTCAGCCTCCTGTGTGCTGGGCTGACAGGTGTGCACCACCATGCCTGGCCTCTAATTAAAC